AGAGAGAGAGAGAGAGAGAGAGAGAGAGAGAGAGAGAGAGAGAGAGAGAGAGAGAGAGAGAGAGTGGAGGTGAGTGGGGAGAAAATTAAGGAAAGTGAGAGTGAGTAAGGAGGCAGAAGAAAGCGGCCAATTACCCTCGTGACGGATGGAGTCTTCAAGTGGACTTTCATGAATTTTTCAAAGTTGCTCCTGAGAGAGAGTTCTTAAGCCTCACAACATCAGCCGAGTCTTCGGGGAAAATTTAAAGGAATTTCAAAAGCCTTATTTTGCTCGCGAGTCGTTCTTCCCTGGAGCAGCGAGAGGTATTATATCTGTGAATGCTCTTTAAAGCTGCTTCTCCGACTGACTGCAGCTTTTAATGAGGTCACTACATGAGCAACAGAGGCAGGAGAGGAGGGGAGAGAGGGGGAAGTGACGGTGTGGGATATTTTTTGAAAGTTTTAGGGAGATGTATCTACAAATCCGTTATTTACCTTAAAAATAAATTTACAAAGCGCTGTTTTGAAGAGAACTCCGTGGTGGCGTCAGTCTTTATTCATATTTTTGATGAGTTGAGCTTCAAGCCGTGGGTGTTGCTCTACCTGAGAAGCTTTATAAGGCCAGAACTATAATGCTACCGAGTAATGTGTCTTTTAGGCTGGGTCTGAGCTGTGAATCTGTGTCTAATAAACGTGGTCAGACCATAAATGAAAATGGACTCACCATTTCTCTGTAAGGTTTATCAATAAATAAACAGTTGTTGGCGACATTCAATGCAAATATTAAGCTGGTACAAAGAATATTAGTTCACAGTTTAATCCTTTGAACACCGACGCCCTTCAAACGATACGGACCAATAAACCGATCACAGAAAACATTCCCTTTGACCCCCGGTTGTTTTGAAGCTCTAGAGCAGCGCCACTCTGTCGTGTGTAATGAACCTAGAGCTGTGTACCGCTGAGGAAAATATAAAACTTGTTTAGTGGACTTATAAATGAAAACAAATAAAACGAATGTCTTAATAGGGTTTTCTTTATCCGCACATAGTTAAAATTGTGAGGAATTGTTTTCCTTGGATTTCATTTATTTCGTGAATAACCAGCAAATCTGTATGCTGCCACATTGAAAATGTGTCACTCTGGTCTGACGGCCTACTAGCGGCAACGAGGATACAGCACACTATGCACTAAGCCTTCGATACACACGGACACACGGAAACAGTGTAACCGACACTGCGTTCAACTGCCTATATTCCCAACTGTTAAGTTAGGTACCCATTCACAGCTGGGTGAACTGGGACTGCCCTGAGCACGAAACCAGCGACCCTTATAGGATGGGGGATAAGGTCTCTATCCCCTCGGCTGCCTAACACATCCTAACTTCCACATTAATGAAATTAAAATATTGTCTGCTGTAGTACATAAAACTTACGGAAATCAAAACTTCATTTAAGATGAACATCTGGTGATGTCATTATGTCTCACAAGGACTGCCGGCGGAGGTCCCCAGTCAATCTAAGCCACAGTGACTCTCTTCCCCCACGATGTTGTACTGATTCCATCCTATAAGGATTCCTTTTTCATTATGGTTCATCATCTTCTGAATTTACAAGGCTGCAGTTCCTGGGCCGCCGTCTGCCTTGCCGGAGTAATATCCCACACACCTGGGGATGGCTACATCACTCACGGCCTCGAGGCGGGTCGAGGGAGAGGGTGAACGACGGGAGGTCTGAGGTAAGATTTAGTTATGTTCCATTTCATATGAAGCATTGATCTGTCCCTCCCAACTACTCACTTTTGATAAACCTTTATTAAGACACGAAAGTGTTTGAATGCATTATCTTCAAGTGCAACAGCATATGCAACGAACATTAGCATTAAACAGGAAGAAAAAATCCTAGAACACTCAAAAAAAGTAATGAATAATGCAAGTTGTTCGGTGCACCAGTTGATATCCCGCTGAGTAAACAATTATAACTTAAACACATTACAGAGAGTTCGCCGCTTCTTTTAACTTTTTTTTCGCTAACTCAAGTTGAACCTCCCGGTGTTGAGTCTTCTCTGTACAGCTAAATCGATTAAGTTGCAGCGGTTGAGGTACCTTAGGAAAGGCGGATGACAAGAGAAGGAGCATTTTGTATTAGAAAAAAAAAGGACAGGTCGTACAATAAGAGCAGGCCTTAGTTGAAGGGACGGATTTTAGGACAAGGGCAGGGCGAAGAAGAGGGACTGGCAACAGAATTGTGGAGCTACAGCAAGAGGTCGACCAGAGGGAGGCTGGAGAGAGTAAGCAAGAGGCGCTGCTGAGAGAAGGAGGGTCAAGGGCCAGGTAGAAGTGGGGGGTCAGGCAGTAGAGCAGGGCCAGGCAGTAGGGGAAGGTCGGGGAGCAGGTGAGGGCCAGGCAGCAGGGGAGGGCCAGGCAGCAGGAGAGGGTCAGGCAGTCGGAGAGGGCTAGGCAGCAGGGGAGAGTCAGGCAGCAGGAGAGGGCCAGGCAGCAGAGGGAAACATCAGACGCCTTGCATCTCATTACACCTGAGACTACTTTTCTCTCTCTCCTGTAACGACATTTTGATGAACTGGTGACACTATCTTGCTTTTGTTTTTATTATTTTGATGTTCGTCTTTTGTTTCTTAAGATTTTCTTGATAAACACTCCTTTGATTCATGAAATTAAATATCTCCATATTTCTTAAACTTATCTGGTGTTGAAATTGATACTGAAACACCAAAATACATTAAACCCAACAATTATTCCTAATCTCATGTCGTTAATCTCACCTCTACCCATAATATTTAAAAGTTGTCTATTACGGAAAATAAGATTCACTGAACAACGTTTAATAACCCTGGCAGTTGAAGTACCTAACTACAAAACATCATCAATATTATTCTTACATAGCAATAAAATTTTATCTACTGTCACCTCATCACAGAAAAAAAAGGATAAAAAAGATTACGCCAACAATGTATTTCCTCCCCTGAGCAGTAAGAGCCCCGACCCAACCAGCCATGCAAATGATACCCCGTTACACGACCTCTATCTTCCCACACCCCGAGCACCGTCGACGAATAATGAGGAATTATGTGGCAGTGGATCCTGCTAAGTACCACCAGTGTAGTGAGTTCAGTTGTGAAAATATTTCCGCTTTACGTTGCACTGTTTACGATGGAATAGTGTAAATATTTATTATACATAAAAATAAACTGATGATCATCTTAAAAACGCATTGTACTAATGATGTAACTTAATCAGAGGAATCATCCTTGACGCTGTGAGGTTATTAACAGACCGACGTAAGATTTTCATAACGTTTTGAAAAGTAGACAGAATACGACAGGACAACAACAGAAAAAAAACGACTTGTCGAACTAACACAAACTTATTGCCTCAGTGTTACTGAATTTTTTGGAAAAAATGGAAATGTGCGAGGCAACATTTCAGAATTTTAATTCTAATGAATTTAATTTTGAAGAAAAAACCTGGTTTCCATTTTTCCAACTCGCCTGACGTCACCAGAGTTAAAGATGGCTGTCATTCATAATTCATTGAAAAAATAAATCATATTTAGTGATTTCACACTCCCTACATTAATATCTTTATCTCCAGGTGATATCATTGCTTATATCACGTGAGAAGCCTTCAACCAAATACCCTCACTCGTTCACATCGTTCATTTCTCACTACAGTAATTCATAAAACTCCACAAAACACAACATGTCCATAAAGGTTGGCTGCTCGTAATCATCATAATACATGCTGCATCACAAATAGTTTACACCTACAGTTAAACACACAAGAGTGACATTACTAGATCGTCGTTGAGAACGGTTGTCCTCAGGTCGATAGATCAATACAGCGAGTCTCTCTATGGCAGGAGACAACATATGTGCTTGTAGAGAGGATGAGGGTGAGAGGGTGAGGGTGAGAGGCTGAGGGTGAGGGAGAGAGACTGAGGGAGAGGGAGAAAAACTGAGGGTGAGAAAATAAGGGTAAGGGAGAGAAACTAAAGGTGAGGAGAGAGACTAAGGGTGAGGGAGAGCGACTGGAGTGAGGGAGAGAGACTAAGGGTGAGGGAGAGAGACTGAGGGTGGGGAGAGAGACTGAGGATGAGGGAGAGACTCTGAGCGTGAAGGAGAGAGTCCAAGGCTCAGGGAGAGAGACTGAAAGTGAGGGAGGGAAACTGAGAGTGAAAGAGAAAGGCTGATGGTGAGGAACAGAGACTAAGGGTGAGAGAATAAGGGTGAGGGAGAGACGCTAAGGGTGAGGGAGAGAGAATATGGGTGAGGAGGGGAGATTGAATGGTAAGGGAGAAGCACGACAAGACAGATGTATGTATGTACTGTATGTGGTTGGCTTTGTAGACCTTTGCTGTATTTGACGGTGTGTGCGCGTGTCGGGGTGAAAACAAACAAAAAATTGCTGTGGGAGATTTCATCGTTAAATATTTCCTCTTCCCCGATTTGTTTACTTTTCCAAGGAACGTCACCCAGGGTCATACTAATATATTTCGATCACAAACCCATCCCGGACCCAATTTATTTTCATATTAAAATAGCAGATTCAATTAGGGTTAGGTTAGGTTAAATATAAATCAGGATTAGGTTGACTTGGTTAGGCTACATTGTGTCTATGTTAATAAAGGCTAGGTTAGGTTAGGTTAGGATAGGTTGGGTTAAGTTTCGGGGTCCTGGTCCAGGTTTTAGAGAGTCCGGCACATTCCGCCATAGCAACGACTTTTCTCCCTACTGAGAACGTCTCCCAGCTTGAGGACTTCTCAGGTACACCCTTCTTGTACTGGAAGCTACACTCAAAAAATATATATTCACTCTCCCCACATACATAAAACCTCCCCCACTCAGGGAACACATCTCTCCCACTCCATTCCGAGAATGCCCTCTCCCACCCTACAGAGGGAACGCATCCTAACTATGGAACGCCACCAGCCCCCGTGAATGGGTGGGTGAAAGCGGGCCTGTGAGGGAGGCAGGAGCGGGAACTGTGGCTCAGTAGCGGAGCAGCTGACCTGTTGCTCAGACGTGGCGCTTTGCGGTGTTCTCCACTGTCGCGCCTCCACCACTCTCACAGTCCCACCCCCTCACTCTCTCCCCTCACCCGTCGGTCATTCTCCTCATCTGAGAACGTTAGTCAGTGGTCGCCTGTGAATATGTCGCGGCGGCAGGTGTTGAGGCAATACGTGAGGAGTCCTGAGAGGGAGGATGCGCTGTGTTGTGGTGGTGGCCACGTGGGAGCTCACTCCTTGCCCCAGTCACCACCAGCCCACCACCACCACTAAAAGTCTTACTAGATAAGGGTAGAAAGTACTGACACCCATACCGAAACTACTGAATTCTCAACCTGTTCAAAAAACAAAACACTAACATACGAAGCCTTACTACTTTCTGAACCAATTTGAGAAATAGTACTATCAATCATACAATTTTCTGAACATTTTCCGATAGAAAAACAAACAAACAAACAATACTATCCATACCAAGACTTCTTAGTCGGTAGAAACAAGTAAAAAAAAATATTGTGCCAAAATTACGATTCAAGCGAGCAGTAATTTAGTGAGTGAGAGAAAATATTAACCTGACTGGTACCGTCATCTCAGCCTCCTCCTGTAGACCACCGGGTAAGTAAACAGTGATAAGACACATTATAAGGTTCCAGTGACACAATGTTTAAACTCGAGTTAATATGACAGACGATGCCTTAACGATGTATCTTCTATCAGATTCTTTTTTGTCAGATATTTCCTCATAACTATTGATGTTCTTATCCGCTTGGTATTCTTTGTTATTCTTCCGTTACTCTATTTTTGTGTAAGTCTGTGTTAATGCTGCCTATTTTTTAACTATTTGTGAGCTATTACCTTGTTTTTAGTATTTCTGCATGATTCATGGATTTTATTTAGCAGATTTTGTTTTTTTTCAGCTAGTTCACTTTTATTCCCAATTTTCCAATAATTCTATAACATCCCCGATCTTTTAACTATTTATATAGTATTCCTGAAAAAATAACTACCTTTGTGTTATTCATTTTCCTGAACACTGTTTATTTATTCAACGAAACGATCCTTCACTCGCTAATAGCACTCAGAAAAAACATACATCGCGATAAGAGAAATGCAACACGTAAAACGCGTTTACGACTTTTTGTTATTGGTAATAACGTTTACCTACATTTCCATACTAAGCGATGCATATCTGGCTTGGGGGAAGGGGGAGGTGAAGGGAGGGGTAGGAAGGGGGAGGGGTGGGTGATGGGAGGGGGGTCACGCGTTGAGACTACACTCTAGGACTATTGTGACTCCTGGGCAAAAAGTCTTAAACGGTTCCTACAGTCAAATTTATCCAATTGAACTAAAGTTATTTAAGGTTCTCACCACACGGGTCAATTAAGCTAATTTCCAAAAATAATGTAAAAAATGGAATCAAAATTATACCTGATACTTTACCCTTAATTTAATGACACGTTCATTTAGCACCTGTTAGGGAACAAAGGGCAACAGATATATGTGCGATAACTTTTAACATTAAAATTTATAGACTAGTGGAAATTATCAATGGAAAACCTTAGCCGGTGTTACAACTTGCATCCAGCAGCACTGTGGACCTGAATGAATGCGTGTGCTATCGGTTCAACACTCGCATTCATTCAGGTCAACTGTCTACATTAAATAGATCAACGTTAGTGGATAAAATAACACCTCCAAAATATGAGTCCAAGTAAAATTCTAAAAAACTTATGTAGTTCAAAGTTTAACATTAGGCGACAGACTGGTATAATAGATCACGTTGTTAGCGTGTCAGTGAGCTGCTTTGCTGGTCAGGTTAGGTTAGGTTAGGTAGTATCATATGTTACTTTCGTGTACAAATAGCGTCAACACACTGTTCTATGAGACAAAAAATCTAATAACTATCATCACTGTTGTGTTTCTCCCTGACAGTCCTGACAGGTTTTTCTCTGGGAGGAAACGTTATTATGACCATTACTCATATTATTTGTTGACTTAACCTGAGCTTTGTGTTTATTGTTGATCCGTAATGTTAGTTGTTGTCATAACTATATTATTTACTGTATGTGTTATTGGTGATACAGTCATTAACTAAATGTTAATTGTTCTTATAAACATTACTATGTGTCACGTGTCGTTGTAACCGTTACTTATGTGTTTATTATTGATATAACAATTAACTATATGTCATTTGCTGTTATAAACGTTAAAAAAGAAAATGGCTCATATGGGCCTAACGGGCCATTAGATGCAGTATGGGTACAGCGTACTGTTTGCCGACAGCTATCGACACACTGTACAAGGAGGCAGTATGACTATACAACCTTCACACTCCCCTAACTGTAAAATTAAATACTTATTCACAGGTGGGTCAACTGGGGATCCTTAGTTCAGAAGGTAAGCCTTACATCCACTCGGCCCCGCACCCCTTCCATAGCTATTATTATTTTACTGCTTGTTATAATATATATATAAATATATATATATATATATATATATATATATATATATATATATATATATATATATATATATGTATGTGTGTGTGTGTGTGTGTGTGTGTGTGTGTGCGTGTTCCTTATGCACTTCCACATTTTCTAAGATAGTAATTTGAAATTTGGTAGGGAGGTGCGGGTGGACAAGGGGATGGTCGCGCACTATCTCGGGTCCCTCTCCCGGGCGAACCGGACAGCTTAGCTAGTACAGTACTTTATATACCCATTATCTGAGCGTTAATTATCTAAATAATCTACGTGCTATTTGTTGTCATAACATTTTGTTGTGTGTTACTTGTTGTTTAAATATAGTTTCTGTGTTCAGTGAAAAATATCTTTTGTACACTCACCAGGTGTAAGCCTCAGTAATTTCCCTCGCCACCATCAAACAGCGTGGTGTTGCCTGATCCCTCGCCATGGTGAAACGGGGATTTAGCTAGCAAGAATATGCATACATGCTATAACATTCCAAGATAATTTTATTTTTCACACACACACACACACACACACACACACACACACACACACACACACACACACACACACACACACACACACACACACACACACACACACACACACACACACACACACACACACGCACGCTTATATTTATATACACCTGATATCACAATCTTTCAAAATTTTAATTCACTGAGAATACGAAAGGGCTGAGACCGCGGAGGGGAAGGGGAGGTGTACTGGGGGGAAATGGTAGGGGAGGCCGTGAATGTGGTTATCCCAGGGGAAATCACTACGGAGTCCGTCGGACCGAGTTTGGTAAGACGAGTCAGTTGGCGACGTGTGACACCCCAACCAGGAGGCGAGGGGGGTGGGAGGTCGGGGGGGTGGGAGGTCGGAGGGGGTCAAGGTGAAGGGTGAATGTAAGGGTTTACTGTGATGGGTGATGTCGAGGGCTTAATGTGAGGGGTGAATATGAGGGAACAGTGTGAGAGGTGGGTGATGGGTTAGTGTGAGAAATGATGGTGAGTGATTAGTAGTTTGAGGGGTTAGTGTGACGGGTTAAAGTAAGGGGTGAGTGTGAGTGGTAATGGATTGTCAAGAGTCAGTATGAGGTGGAACGGTGAGAGGTTAGTTGACAAAAAATTCACCATAATTCCAAGTAGTAATGTACATGTATAAGGTTAATGATCCCGTTGTTGTTCATGGTCCCAGTGTGTAAAGGAAGTATGTGTGAGTTTAGTTATGGTCTGCCGGGAAGGGTTAAACCTGGGCGTGGATCCATATGCCACCATAAGGGCAAACTACTAGATAAAAAGAGTTCCATGTCAGGATTTAATTGTCTGTGAATTATTATCAGCAAGAGCAGAAGGATCTATGTTATAAAATTCCAAGTTCCAAGAAGATTAGGAGTCAAAAGTTTCCCCTGTCACTGACCCAGTCTGTACATGTGTGGGAAAAGGGAGGACTGACAGAGGAGGAAACAGCGTAATAGACAGAATCAACTGTTAGAAAGGATACTGTAATAGTTTAGACGGTTTGTAAGGAATACATCTTAATTGTTACCTTTGTCAGTGGGGCAGTCAAGGATGTTGGTTGACTGACTAGCGAGATGAGGTTATTCCTTTTTAATAGATTCCAGCACCGAGTCAGTCTGCATCTGGCCAAGAGGAGCGAGTGACCACAGGTTATTATGAAGAGTGAAATCCCCACAAAAGACCAATTTAGTATATGGTGATTAGAGGAAAATATGCATTGACTTTTAGAGTTTAATTCGTCTTGTCTGGGAAGATTTGCGTGTTTTAGATAAATATAGGTTAATAGGGAAGTGAAAACGTAGAAGCTACAGTAATTCTAAGTTAAGGGGACTCAATTTTTGGCTGACAGGGAAGATAGGTAGAAATGAAAGCACTCTTGCCACCCAACATTGACGGAAAAAAGAAAGGGATGATGATTGTATTAAAAACAGAATATGGAGACTTGGTGACTAAAGAACAAGAGGGATAGAGTTTTCGTTAGTGTGGATTATCCGTATATCACAACACTGTAATGAATATGGGTGAAAATATCAATTGTGTAGTCAAAGATGATACTACCTATAATACGTTTCCTGTGAGCCTTGTGACGTTGTATTAATAGAATGGGGATGTATGTCTTTTAAGTATACCGACAGGTGAAAACAGTAACCTTGGGAAGAAAGCAACAGAAGGAACCCACCCGATCACTAACTAACCTTACTAATATCCGAGGATTTTTCGCCTACTAATTGGACAGATTCCCCATACCGCTATTATATGGCTCGGGTCTATATGCAAACAGTCCATGCATAAAACCTGACCTACTGCCAGAAGTATTGATTTTTTTCAGACACGGAATCAAATATATTAAGGAACTGGATCGTATTTACAATGCAAAATATAGACGAGACCAAGAAAGAGAGAGAGGGACTATAGGTGATGTTAAGTGTATGTGTTGTGGTGTAAGTGAAGCATCCAGTGAAGCTGTAATACCTCCACGGGGGCTCTGACTTGTGAGGCTTACACACCTCTACCGGACGAGGGGTTAGTGTGACAGGTAGGGTAGTGATAGAGGTTAATATGAAGAACGGCGTGGCAGTGATGTATTAGTGTGTGGGAGAGAGAGTTATAAGTATGATGGGTGACATGGATAATTTAGTATGAAGGTGACAGGTAAGAGGTAAGGACGAGGAACACACACATACACATAATATAACCTCTCCCTCCACTACTCCACCCACCAACCCCACATAACCTGACTCTCAGTGCTTGGTGTTAGAGGTCAGAGGTTAATCTCATTAACAACCATGTCATAAAAAAAATAATGAATTTTACGAACTGCGTCCACGGAGTTGCCAACTAGACGAGTCATACTTCATGAAAAGAACACCAAGATAAAACCTGTATTTCCTGTCTGTCTAACTTACAACATGGCGCAACGTGATGGATTTATCAAGTATGTATTTTACCCTCAGAACAAAGCCACTGAAGTCGCCTTTGAATCAGAGTAAATGTACAAGAATCTCTCGGTCTGATCATGTACGGTGTTCGTAGTTCAATACGTATATAATCAGTCATGAACACGTCCGTCATGTTTGTAAATAACTTGATCATCCTGTAAGAGTGAAGTATAACAGAACAG